AATATATTGTGGGAATTCTTTACAAATCGGCACAGCTCTGTATTTCAGCCCCATGCTTAGTGGTTTTGCCTTCACTCTTGAGATAGCACGATAATAAAAGCTATGCAATGTTGCCTTGCTTAAGCAGTAATTCCTCACAAATATTCATCTGAATGGCTTAGAGATTAACGAATTACATTGACTACCTTTTAGAAACATACGAACTACAATACTGTACTGTATAGATAATCTCATTCTGGAAGTTAAGATGATTTTTGCACATTTAAGCATAAGGCACTTTTTAAATGTCAATGATTACCATGGCTTCACATAAACACATTTTTAAGATATGGCCGATTAATAATTATACCATACATTAGGCAACGCTTCACATGTTTTGAATAAAAGCCATGACATTCACAAAGGTTAATTTTTTTTTACACTATTGGAAAACAATATTTTTCTGCGTACACAAATATTTATTTTATGTAAGCAATGTCTAGAATGTATAGCAGAAATTAAATCTGGGGCCCAAAGAGATTACCAAATAAGATGGCGTACGTGGAAAACTGCTGCGGTTTAGCATTCTATCTTTGGATAGCATCAATTTGCACGACTTCGTTTAAAATGACTCAGAAAACAAAGCGATTGAGGGAAGGATGAATGGCCTACATCCTCAGTGCAGGTTTTTATGGTTTAACCGTTGCCTTAAAAACAAATACATACTGTAAACTGAAACCATGCCGTGTTAAAGTAATTTCAAAATTGATATCGCTTATATCCGTCAATGAGAATAATTGATGCTTATCATTGCGAAATATTAAAAAATACACATTCATAATAGAGGTGTTTTGGGTTAGATCGCGTAAATATATAAATGTGCCGTTAAAACCCGCCACCACCCGACACAGCCAACTAGTAAGGGTTGTCACGGAAACAGAACGTGGCCAATTCGTCGGTGTGTTGGAGAGCCAAGCCACAACATTTACAATCTGAGTGCGACGTATTGCTAGTAATTACAACTAGCTTCATCAGGCGACAGCCAGATTAGTGGAGAAGTCTTACTGTTTCGTTCTTTATATAGAGGCGTCGATGTGTTGACCACGTGCTCTTGCACAATGTAGGGGGGGGGGGGTGTTACTGAGTCAACGTACATAATGCATTATGCGAGCTCTTTGAACTTGTCCTTCCTGCCTATTGTGTGTATTAAAATAGCATACCAACGGTACTCCCTATTGAAGTATGCTGCCCTTTGTAGGCATGCATTTAAATAATGTATTATTTGATGATTCGCTTCCACGCAGCACTAAGGCGGTAGCTACCAAAACGATTAAAATAATTTTTATTCATTTCAATTTTGAAAGATTCTCTAATTAGTCTTGGCCAGTAATAGCTAGTTTTGTACAGAACTTCAACATTATCAAAATCAATTGAGTGTCCTTGGGAGAAATTAATATTTCTCTGATGTTATTTTAGTCTCGTGCTGATCATTCGTCCTGTTTGCCCAAAATAACATTGACCACACGTGCAGTTAATCCCGTACACACCTTCTGTTGATAGCTTCGGTAATACATCTTTTGTACCAGATATAAATTTCTGTATTTTATGTACCATGCCAAATCTGACTCGGATGTTTTGTTTTTCCAAACATCTGGCTATAAACTAGCCAGATGTTTGGAAAGGGCATGAGAGCTCACACTGGAGAAGCCTAATATACTGTGGTTATTAATATTCCATACATGTTTGCAAAATGTTTTCATGTTTTGGGATATTTTGGCAAATAATTCTCACTAAAGTAATATGGCTATGATAACAATATCATTAAATTTTCAAGTGAAGCTTGAACAAGTTTCAGAATATATCCACATTTTTTTTAGGAGGTTCCTGCATTGAGATATGTTCAGATTTCTTAATAAGGAGCATTCTCAAATGACACTGAGACATCCATACTTTTAAAAATACATAAAATTGCAGTTGCTAATTTACAATTCAAGTGCTATTTAAGGGAAACTAAATTCACGAATGCTAGGTATCTGTCATGCTCGTATATTGCAAATTATAACCACATCGGCGTTGCTAATATGGTATTTTAAGACCATATTAGCAATAATCAGTGCGAAACAAATTGGCTCCGTTTGGCATATTAAGAGATGACAAGATTTGCATCTTGTCTATCGAGTACTGCATGCGACCCTCTCTGTTCAGCATTCCCCGACGCTTGGAAAATATTGACGATTGTCCGAGTGCAGTGAGAGATTTTAAAACAGCGCCAGTCTGACTCCTGCTATTAATAAGCGTGTGCATTTACGAAGAGGTTTGAATGAAATATTTCTCCTGACATATATGATTTCTTTATGATTGAAACACCAAGCGATGGAGTGGTGGTGCGGTGTTATCATCGCACTACGCTTTGAATCCGATGACATGAGTTTGATTCAAGGTAATAGCTAACTCTAGATTTGAAGCTTTCGTGCCTGCAAGGATTCATACTCTTAGTTTTTTCGGTAAAGTCACGTAGGTAAAAAATTGAAATTAATAAAAAAAAAATCCCCTGCCTCACTTGATACAACAAATCTGGCTGTGACGGTCCCACCTGATGACGGAGACTTGTGTTGCCTCCGAAACGTCGTGATTTTTTATTCTTTTATTTTTTATTAATTTTTATTTCAATTTCTTACCTACACGGTGACTTTACCGAAAAAAACTAAGAGTAATAGCTAACGTCGGTGGTGCGTCACATTCTGAACTAGTTCAACCCCCCCCCCCCGCACCTTCACCACCCCGCACTGATCATCCCCCACGATTGACACCGCATGGGGCGGGAGACCTTCATCCAGCTGCGGTTTTGGCAAAGGGCTGCAAACGATGGAATGTATCATCAAAACAACACCAAAATTCCATTGCATTTTACTCGATTTGCAATTACATTTCTCACGCACGCCATGGAATAATATGAGTGCGAGGCTGTTCGTTTGCACGGGCTCGGCCCATCACGTCACAAACTAACCACGCGGCTTTTGTCCAGCTGCCTGTTAATTGGGTAGATAAGCAAATTGGGGGGGGGGGGGGCTTAATTGGCGAGTGTGTGTTGATGAAAAATAATTCCCAGTCAACTTCTTGTTGAGAGCTCAGTATGAACCAACACTTACCCCATTGTGCATGCCATCGCAAAGCCCTGAGCAGGTGTAGAGCAAGAGTTAAAGCGTAAACAGTTTAGTCTTTCCTGACGTTTGGATAAACCCCACCCTGACATTGCTAACGTCCGAAGTAAACATCAGCTCGTGCGAAAAACACACTTTCCATATGGTTTAAAAAATTAACCCGTAAAAACAAAGTTTTTCACTATAAATCCTTTATATGCGTGGCATCGGTTTTGGTTTATTATTCATTTCTGTTTTTCTTGAGTAAGAGTTTCATTTTTATCACATTGGTATTTGAAATGAAATATGAAAAAAAAAATTCCTAAAAAGTGGAAAATTTTGGGAAAAAATTTTCACGAAAATAAATTGTCACGCACAACGAGTCTGTGTGCAAAATGTCAGCTCGATTGGATCACGGGAAGTGGGTTAAAAAACGACCGAAAGATTTGCACGGTCGTAAGCGGGCAAGCAAGCAAGCAAGTGAACTTAATATAAAGGATTTAAAAAAAGAATAGTTTGGAAACTTTTGAAGTGCTTCTATGGCAGCTTCCTGCTGGTTTTGCACATCCCCCCCCTCCCCCCGATAAAATTGAGTGGGAAGTCTGATGTTACCGACACGTGATTAAATCCCAAACGCGTTTCATGTGCATCCATGCTGGCATCATTATCTATTGAACCACACATCTTAATCCCCAAACAGCGGTGGCATCAAATATATATTCTCCCTCCAGGTCCAACAAGAAAGTGGTTACAGACCACCTTCACATTGCCAACAAACTGGACCATGCGAAACATCGTAGTGGAAAGTAATAACATGTTGTTAAAAAAAAAAATTACGAAGCATAAAACGTGACGTTTGCTTAATCATGAGCAGTAACTGCATTTGTCGCGTCCTTTCGGCAAGCCTTACAGGCAAGATCGTCACTACACAAGCAGCCAATTTGACAGCACACGCCATAATTGACATTTGGGTGAGGCCTTGCAGCGGTCTCATCGAAAATGTTGTTGGAAGGTTTCACAAATAAATATTCGGCGAGATCATTACCACTGCCCCAAACGGAAGATCGACTATCTACGGTTGTATAATAATAAGTACGGCGATTGAATGCGACTTCAAATTCCAATGTCGTGATGCTCGTGTAAGTGGCATCAACATCTTTTCTGGCTATTTCAGACAAAGGTGTCGCTTGGATGATTGCCTCGGGAGTATTTGTGGGGTTCGCGCAGAAATACACGCGCGCTTATTCTGTGCGTTATGTCAGTGATGTGGTTGGAAGCAGAAAACAGTTTTCTAAATAGACGCTTACTTCTTCAGAACTGCTATGAGATGTTAACTACCTCACCTGGTATGCAGGAGATTGTGGGTTTGATCCCGACCCTCGTGTCTGTATATTTGAAGTGTGCATGTTCTCCCCGTGGTCGCGTCGATTTTTCTCCGGGTCCTTCGGTTTTTCCCTCCACATTTAGAAACGATGTATGTTTACAGTATTTGGGTGCTATAAATATCCACGTGATAAGCCACTTCAATGAGCTATCGTTTGTGACCAGGTCGTTTCTGAAAAAGAGCTATATAGCTCAATGGGCCTTACCTGATAATATAAATAAATAAATAAGTGTGTTTATTATGAGTAAATGTTTTCTAATGGTGAGTTGCAGAGATAAGCCACTGATTTATTTTTTTGGAACAGCAGCAAAACTGATTTTATTTGAAATAGTAACAAATGTAAGTAATTGATGTCTGTATATGTAAAATTGCACATGTGTACATATTAAATATTGATGATACGTGCAATGCATTGTTACACGTTACCTGAAAAAATCATTCTATTCGTTTTGACTGACATGCTTTTGTTCTTTGTGCGCTTTTAATTTTATTCACAGGCTTATTAGAAGCTGCCAAAGTCTCTTCGGATTCCAGTCGAACGTCCACCAATTCCGTGTTTAACTATGAACTTTTAAATGCGGAGACCTCCTTCTTTCTTAAGCAAACGAACGAAGACGTTGAGATCGACCCCACGACATTGCAAGTGCACGTCCAACCCTTCTTTGTCTTCAGTACCAGCATGCAACCTATCTTCAACGTCACCTACGGACCTTTCTCTACCTGGAAGCCAGTACCTATGTCTATGCAGGGACTCAGAAACCCATCACAGCAGCAGAGTTTATCTGATCTGAATACCAACTGGAAGCTCAAGTCCTTTCTTACGGAGAACATTATTTTCTCAAACAGGCCAATCATTCAGGTTTTATTTTGTCTTCTGGGGCGAGACTGGGATAAAAACAGCGCTTCTGAAAAGATGCCGTGTGTTGACCTGCACGTTTTCTTTGGAGCCCAGGAGCTGAGGACATCCTGCCAGTTGAAAGGAAAGTTGGGAATGTGTTTAGGAGAGATCGATTTACCATCCAGCTGGTTTTTGCCAGATGATATGACCTCCAATGGAGATTCTCCCGAGTCGCTGCCTGTGGATTTGTACTACGCCCTGAGGAGCCCCGAGGAGTCTGGAAATTGTGCACCCTGCGGGTAGCCAAGGGCTCACATATGTCCACGTTCTCGGCAAGGAAGAAACCCGGACAGATCTACAATGGGTTGGAAGTGTACAGCTGCTGCAAACTCCAAAGTCACCACCTCGCCATGAGGTCAGGTTGGATGACAATGTAGTGATCTACCTGCCAGCCAGATCTATCAGACATGGGGAGATTATACGCATTCCTGTGGGGCTCCTGAAAAATTCCAGCGTGGAACACTTTGCCCTAAGGTGAGCCACCTGTCTGTTTTCTACTCAGCTGATGGCTTAGGACCGTGAAAGCATTTGACAGCTTGTTCTGTCCCACGAGTGCGTCCAATGCAGGCTGTAAAACGTTCAATGTGTTGATGTTCGGCTCGCCAAGCAAATATGGAAATGAACATGTCTTCCCCTTGCTACTTTTCAATTCGTGTGCAAATCTACATCACTCGTTCAAAGCTTCTCACGGAGTAAATAATGATAATAAAGTACATATAGAATGTGACACTTTTTTTAATAAATGTTTTTAAAGTGGAGTTTAGATTTTGGGAAAATTAGATTTTAATAATACCTTCCTCTGCAGTAGAGATTGGTCAAATTACTTTAATGCCATGTAAAGTTTCACGAGTGCGTGGAAATTGTGTAGTTTTAAATATTTTTGTTGCATAAAATAAAATGCTTGTTACCATTGCATTATTAGAGTTAAACGGTTTTGTACGCTACCGTTGGAAAAATACATTGCTGTCGTTGAGTGAATGTGAAAATATACTCGCACAATTAAACGGTCCAACATCATTTATAATAACATTTACAATTGTTTAATTAATAAATAAAAATGCTCACTTTCAGAATAAAATGCAGTATTAATTGCTTCATGGATAAAAATCGATAGAAGTTGAAAACACAATACTTATTTACAGGAAAAAAACATGAATCAATTTAGCCGTTGAAACAAATATAACTTATGATTAAAAATAAATGAAATGGAATGAGCTCATACAAACTGGATATTGACAGACAGTGTATAGGTGTAATGAAATTGCATTGTGCTTCAACAAATCGATACAATTCTAATTGTTAAGGCATTGCCTTAAACAAATGGAAATGCGAAATTTTCAGAAGATGCTCAACTTTGTTCACTCTTATCACTTAAGTAGCAAACTTGATCTGGTATGGCAATCTAAACCGCGACGTTATTATCTCTAATTATGCATATGACAGATGTGGTGGCAAAACAACAACTGATTGTGTAAGAGAGAGATGAGGCGTGTCAGACTTTGAATGTTCATCTCAAACCAAGTCTTTGAAATATTTTCCTATCCGTTTTGATTAATCTTCACTGTCAGGTGCAGGTAAACCCAAACATTTAAGGCATGCAAAATTACCACGACTACGAAATTAAATATTTTGCAGCTATTTGCCTGACGGCTTTTATCAGGAAATGTGTATGTGGCCCTTTGATCAGTACACACTTGAAAGTCAAAGGAAATGCGTAAAAAATGCCGAAGGTAGTTTTTCAGCCGTGGCTGTAAATAAGCTTGCATTGCACACTCACAGATGTTTACCCCTGCCATTCAAACAAATTACCCACCACCTACATTTTAATTATCATGGACATATTCACAATGTCTGCAGAAATGACATGTGCTGAGATACCCCCTGCATCGGCAAAATTACATTTTTAGCAGAAATATGGGAGAATCTAATTAAACTGGTATAGATGCCAAATATTATGGCCTCTCTATTATGTTGATTTGTATTCATGAAAGCTCTTATCCTTGTAATCTATAATACAAGGGTGAAGCCCAATATGTATGTTGCACACGAGGTATGATTCATAGCACTCGCAGCTATATGAGCTAAAATGTGATGGGAATAATTATTTTACAAAGAACATCGTTTTTAATTGTTGACGTGATGTAAATACAAAACAGATCAAATACAGTCCGTGCAAAACAGGTGGTATTAGCCACCACATTGGGGTGCTGCCCTAATTTTTTTAAAGCTAATTCTGTGAAATTGAATGCTATATTAGAAAAAAAACAAGTTTTGCTGGCTGGCCTGTCAGCTGGCGCGCGGGTGATGTCACTGCGCACATCTGCGTGATGATGTCACCCACATTCCACATTGTTGAGCAGGGTTGTTGCGTACTGACGTCACCCCCCCCCCTCCCGCCCATCCTCCACCCTACCGTGTAACCGGCTCAAACGTGCGGGCAGTGCTTGCAAATACCGGATTATAACTTCAACCGAAATTACATTGTTCTGCATGTTATACATAGGTGGCAATATCCTACTTCAAATAACGAATCTAATTGTATGCTTGAATTGGGTTTTTTCGTAATCTATTTAAAAAATTTTTTTTTTTAAATGTCTGCAATAAATCTGAAAAATTTACAGAGTGAGAAAGTTGTGAAACCAATACATAATGAATGAATGTCATCAGTATTTCATGCATATTATGACCAGTCACATAAATAAGCCAAAACAATATTTAACGTATATTGTTGATGGCAATAAAAAAAAAACATTAGATTTTTTTACGACTGCAAGGCATTTCAATGAGACCTTGCCTTCAAATTATACTGCACTCTGATTCCACTGCTGCACGACAGCAGATTTATTTTCGCGAACAGTTCTGAACAGGAACATTTTTGGCCACTTATCAGTTCATAATACTCATCTATCCTCGGACAATGATCTACCTACTGCTGGGTGAAGGCCCCCATCAGTCGACGTCTGCAGATATTGAGCGTTCAGACGAGTTCAGGCGCCAGATAGATTGTTGTGCTGCACTTACTACAGGTATCCCTAGATTTACGAACGTTCGATTTTACGAAGTTTCGCATTAACGACAATCGACAAATTATGGACACTTTTCGATGAACGAAATCGAATTTCCGCGTGAACGAAATTGCACTACGGCACGCACCGTAAGATCAAACAACAACCACCCGGAGTCTGAGTCATCCATCCGCAACGATGTCACGGTTATCCCTACAGTGTAACAGGAATGTCTCTACATCACCTTGCCAGGCATTCCAATACGCATATCTTTTTTCGTGAGTTCCCTGAAAAGGTTAATTATTTTTTAATTCATTGTTATTTAATCGTTTTAATACTTGTGCTCATTATTGTTATTTTGTTCTGAAAAGTGATATGGGTAAATATTTTTAGGTTAGGAGTAGAGGTGGAATGACTGTCCTAAATACATCCATTTTTTTGTATTACATTAATAGATAAGCCTTTACAATTTACAAAATGTAGTGGGTTTTTTACGTATCCCTTTCGTAAATCGAGGGATACCTAAATATATATATAAAATGCATATTCTTTTATAACGTATATACTGAAATGATAAAGATACTGCGTCAGAACAAACAAATTCATATCGATATTATTATGAACACGGTTTTACTTTATTTGCTTTATATATTCCAAATGTTGCAACAGCCACCGTCAAAACGTTTAGTCGATCTTTGGTGCAGCCCTTAATTAGAGGCAAATTATTTGGCGATGCTGCTGCGTTGGCAGTGGTGCACGAGCAAAATGAACACAAAAACACGACTAACACGAGCACAATTAACCAATATCTATATCTCTCCATTTCAGGCAGTGTTATTGACAAATGTGTTTTTGTTTAAACGATTTGTTTGCTGGAAAAAAAAAACTGATCGTGTAAATAACAACAAATAGTAATATCATTACTTGCAGGCTTTTAGCAGAGTAGCAGGCCTTTAGGTGACCACAATGTTTTAACACGTTACTGCGAAACCAATACAGGATGCTGCCATGATTTCGATTTAAAGCTTTCGTGACTGCAGGGATTCATCTTCTTGGTTCTTTCGGTAAAGTCACGTAGAAGGGAAGTAATAAAATAATACAAATAAAACATAAAATAATTCTCACGACGTTTCGGCTACAACGCAAGCGGCCGTCTTCAGGTGAAGAAACCTGAAGACGGCCGCTTGCGTTGTAGCCGAAACGTCGTGAGAATTATTTTATTATGTTTTATTATTATTTTATTACTTCCCTTCTACGTGACTTTACCGAAAGAACCAAGAAGATGCTGCAATGGTTGAATTATTAGCACACTGGACTCGCAATGCAGCTCGATTCGCTATCCTGGCGTGGCAGTGGAAACAACGGTGCTCGTTTTTAGGACCCACCCCACCTCTGTCCACGCGGCAGAATAAATGGGCACTCCGCAGTTGATCGGCAGGTTGCGTGTGGCCGGTTAAGTGTGGGTCTTGTCACCTCTTCCAAAATGTCTGGCGAGCGTGAAAGAGGGGGACACGTGCCCTTTAGAGTGTCTCTCTCTCGAGAGTGGAGGCCCTTCTGCCAGCAGTAGCACAATCAAACAATTACAGGGCTGCACCTTTATCTTTGCTCCTTAACGACTGCCGATTATACTCACAAAATAGTTATTGACGTTTCATCAACAGGCTTCAGTTGATAATTAATGGTGTCTTGTTAGTCAGAGCAATACATTAAATGCCTTTTTATCATGACCATATTGGGGTTTTAGAAATTATCGACATAAACAATGCATAAAGATCGTACGTATTAATAGTTTCTGTGAAACACTTTTCGAACTTTTCTAACGGGCATTTATCTTCAGAAATGATTGCTTAGAAATTACAAGCGTAACGTTATATTTCAAGCCAGGCAATGAGATGCCGTCACACAGCGCGTGATGTGCGACGTCGTCAGACAGCATCACAAGGGGAGTAGTCATCGGTGCCGGGGATAGGTGTCATCTCCCTTTTAACGCTGGCTTTTGTGTTATCCCTTTAGCGCTGGCATTTGCCATCACGTGTCGGGGAACCACTTGATCGACATGGTCACTTTTCTGTAGGGAAAGTTCCTATTAGCGACAACTCTTCACAAGAATTGTTGGGCCAGCGCCCGTTACAGAGAGACAGACTGACAGAACTAACGCACTTAAGTTTTCAACTTTTGTTGGAATTGCTGTACGTGTGCATTTTCCAGAAATTAATACTGTATTGTGACGTAATGCATCTATTAGAAGAGGGTGCCTGTTGTTAATTATGAGATTTAATGCATACTTTCAGCAAGACCAATGACCGGTAAGTTTACTAAATATGTAATTTGACTTCACATTGAAACTCAATGGCCCACTACGGTGTTGCACCATTGACCATGCATTGCCAGGTCCATATTTCTTTGTGAGCCTAGCACATTGTCCACATTCATCATAGCGTACATTGTTTCAGCATTTGAAATGAGTTA